CACATACACTTTAATTTAATGGATTTTTCCTGGGCGATTGTATATTTTACCCACACTAAACAAGTAGTAACAATTGTAATCTAATTTGAACCCATAATTTTTCAATTTCTAAAATGGTATTATATTATAGTAAATATCTAAAAACTGAATGATCTCGAATTCCTCGACATCTATTTTAACACTGTTGTACTTATTGGTGTGAAAGCTGAAAGTGTAAATTTATTTATTATTATTATTATTTACTTTAAAGAAAATTAAGTCAGAAAAAAGTTGTTCTCTTCGTTGGGCGTAATTTACGTTTGAGCGTACATACAGTACCTACAGGGATTTTTTTCTCTAAATTCCTTCTGTGTATATTTTTACTATCTATTATTTATTTTTGTTATTATTAATAAGTCCATTTAGTATTAAGATATTACCTCATATTTAGATATAAATAATGAACTTATAACAAAAAATAATGTGATATTCTAAAACAGATAGGTACCTAGTGGCTAGTCATGTTTTTAGCAAGGCTCAATAAATAGCGGCCAGAGGAAAAATTTAATCCTGAACACAGTTAAGAAAAATGTGTAAGCACCAATAATATTTTACGTGCCTTATGTATCAATAATATGATGACTAATTAATCATATGTCTAATATTACAAAATGTATATTTTGTGTCGGCACAGATGCGGTCGGTACAGATGCGGTACCTAGGCACAGTTGCGGTAATTTCCTTTTTCTTGGCAATTGCAATCCCTAATTTATACCTATGAAATGGTTTTACAAAATGACCGGCCGTAAAACGTTTGGACACACAACGATTTGTGAAAACGATTTGGAACACACGTTTAGGTACACTTTTTTTCAGACCCCAAATTTCAATACAACGTTTGGGCACATAATATTTTAAAATTAATACTACGTTTAGGTAAACATTTTTCATATTTTAATAATTTCATTTTGTCATATTATATTAACATATTTGGTCATTCATTACAAAATACTTTTAAAATCTTATTTTATTTATTTATTTATCTTTATATATTTATTTTACATTTTATTTTTTGGAGCCTATTAGCGTTATCCAGGAGACACCACGAGGAGGTTAGCTCTTATAGTCTCCCAAAAATTGTTATTATTATCTTTATTGTTATTAATATTTAAATTATTTAATTTTGTCATATTATATTAAAATATTTGGTTTTTATTATAAAAATACTATTAAAATCTTATTTTATTTATTTACTTAATTATATTTATTTTGTTTTTCCTACAAAAAGTGGACCGATGTCATGTAGATAATTCCTTATATCATTGTCAACTTTAAACTCACTGTATTTTTTTTAAATATAACCAACTTTATCTGGTTTCGCATTCAAATCTGTAGTTGCCTTCCTTTTTGATACTGACATTACTTTTTGTTTTGTAAGAGCTCCTTCTTGAAGAGCTTCATGATTGTGGTATCCATGAATCGAAATTACATTTTTTAAATTTTGAGATATTTTTTCTGTTATATTACAGTTACGATTAGTACACCGAAAAATTTTGCTGTCCTTATTTATTCTAAATTCGCTGAACTTAAAACGACCTATAATCACACACGTTTTAATACGACGGGTTTCAAAAACTTCAGTAATACGACTATCCATTATTTCGTACTGTTCACTATGACTTTGAAGATACAACTGAGAGTTGAGACACTGTCACACTGAGTGAATAAAGAAATTTGTAAAGATATATATATAATACTAGCTGATCCCGTGCACTTCGTTGCCCCGTTAAATGTATCAATTCTATATGTCTCAAAGTTTGTTCAATTCGTTATTTAATATTCGGTGTATGCGGTGTTCAAAATTAATCTTAACTTTTCCGTTGCCCCGAATAAAAATTCTGATTCGCAGCAGTAATCTACCTGCGATAGATCGCGTACCCTGTGCTGTTTGTACGTAAGTGTATGATTTAACTCTAAAGTATCAAAGTTATACCAAGTTTATCGTTTTTACTTCATTTCGCCTAAGGTGGATTATTATAATCATTTTATACAAAATCCTATCCTAACCTAACCGTACTAAAACCCGATGAAAAAAAAACAAATTTAACCCTTAGTAAATTAACCTATCTTCTTCCCAGACGTCTAATCTACCCACAAACATTAACTTATATATATATATACATAACTATATAAATACACGGACTATAACTATACAGACTCTGGAACTACTTATTGGATCTTTTTGTATTTATTATATATATATGATATATGTATACCTATTGACAAAAAATAATGATACAAATCAAAAACATGCCCGATTAACCAATAGCAACCGATATAATATAATACACTGGTGGATTTTCCTAACATTTTTTTTTTTCATATAAACCTTATCCATGAAATACTCTTTCATTTAAAAAAAAATAAAGAAGATCTGATAAGAAGCTCCAGAGATAAGTAGTACAGAGATTTTCATTTCAAATTTTTATAGTTAGATATTATATTACAATTTATATTTAAAAAGTAAAGCAAATAGTTTTTTTTTTTTTATTATTTTTATTATTGCAATAGCTTAAAAACCCATGGCAACCATTTATAATCAAAAATTTCCATCGGAAATCTCAAAATTCCCATTTGAGCACCTCCCGGGGTTGGTCCTCTCCCTTTTTAAATTAGCCTATCTTTTAAGTTGGACCAAATTACACGCGGTGTAAAAAATTTTATCAAAATCGGTTAAGTGGTTTAGGAGTCCATTGAGGACAAACATTGTGACACGAGATTTATATATATTAAGATAATATTATATTGATGCAGGAGTTATAAAGATTATAGCCAATAACAAATATATGTATTACATAAAAATTCTTAGTCGCGATAATATTAATGGTTAGGTGATAAAGTAGATTACGTGTTTATGGCGTGTACCCAAACGTGTCTTGTATATGTGTACCCAAACGTTCTCTGATTTACCAGGTAAAAATATAAAATACCTTTTATTTTATGTGTCCAAACGTTGTGTCTATTTGTACCCAAACGTGTTGGATTTTGGGTCATTTTGGGTAAATGTGACCAAACGTTCATCGCCCAAATGACCTACTCAAATTGTTAGTCAAGAAATTTGCCCTTTATTTCAAAAAGTCCATTGATAATTGAACACGTCACTAATATTCTTACATACGCTTCCACCAAGACAACTTTAAGTAGGATTAATAAAAGCTTAATTGGTAACACATAAGATCAAATTTTGAAGAAAGAAATAATTTTACCCGATCACATTTCAAAATTTGCTAACAATTACCAATTTGTATTATTTGACAAAGATGTTGAAGAAAGGATTATTCATTTTTTGATAGTATTTTTAAAAGTTTCCCAAGTTTTCCATCCATTGCACCCACGCAATGGGGAAAATTCCATATTTTATCATAGTCACAAGCAACTTTTTTCCACTCGTCTTCATTTGATGGTATCTGAAAGTATAAAATAATACCATGGCTATAAGTACAGAAACCTACAAAAACAGTGAACTCGCTCCACTATATAGTATGTCCCAAAAGTCCCGTATCACCATGTATATCTCCATGTAAAATCTCCATGTAAAATGTATATCTCCATATCTCCATGTAAAATCACTATATTTAAACGCGGTTTTTTTTACAGTACTAAGTATAAAAATTCTGATTGAATGGCATAAAATTCATTTGTTTTTTTCTTTAAATTCAAAAATTTTCAAAAAAATTTTTTACGCATTTAATAATTTAAAATTTTTAAGATAGCCATTTTCTTGAGCATATTTTTTAAAACAGTTCAAAAAAAAAAAAATACTAAAATTAAATAAAAATTGACCAAGTTAGAGCAAGTTATGTTTTTGAATAATTGTAGTAAAAAAATAAATTATTGTTTCACATTTCAATAATGAAATATCTTATTATATATCTATATTTATCTTATTTCAGCACACGACAATACTTTTACATTCCTAATTTATTTTTTTACTACAATTATTCAAAAACATAACTTGCTCTAACTTGGTCAATTTTTATTTAATTTTAGTATTTTTTTTTTTGAACTGTTTTAAAAAATATGCTCAACAAAATGGCTATCTTAAAAATTTTAAATTATTAAATGCGTAAAAAATTTTTTTGAAAATTTTTGAATTTAAAGAAAAAAATTAATGAATTTTATGCCATTCAATCAGAATTTTCATACTTAGTACTGTAAAAAAAACCGCGTTTAAATATAGTGATTTTAAATGGAGATATTAAGGGTGATACGGGACTTTTGGGACATACTGTATATGTCGTCATTGCAGAGTAAGTCACTTTTATTTTTTTTTTTTTCACTTAATTCGATTTCAAACCCGATTCTGAACGGATATGATTTATCAGCCTAGGATATTATATTAATTATATTACATTTACATTACTAGTAATTAAGTTTATGTTGTAAATACTGTAAATTGTAAGAGTTTTATAAATACGTATTGGGTATTGTAAATAATTTATAATTTCAAACGATTATAAAATAATAAAAGATAATAAAATATAAGATAATAAAAAAAAAAAATCGATTTGGTTTTCATAACTTTTTTGGGTTTTTCCTGACTCTTTTTATAACTCCGTTCAGAATCTAAAATTACGAAGTAAAAAGAAAATTTATTTAAAATTAGTATTTGATTTTAAATCCAGATACTTAAATAGGTACCTCAAATACCTTCTTTACTAGTAATGCAAGTACTTTCCAACACAGCACATACATTATAGTGACCTATAGATACCATATGACCGAGTTCCACTCGACACGTATCTACTATATACAGAAGAGCGAGTTCGTGGTTTTATGCTATTGCATAAATATATTTACAAATAATTACAATATCATGAATCTCAAATAGAAATTAAATTTAATATTTTTTATGTAGATAAGTGACAGTTCAAGTGACGAAGAATGTGAGGATAACATTGAAATTCGTAGCACAAAATCTGTAGCAGTTGATGATCATGTTTTTAAGGAACATGAAATAAATGAAAAATACTATAAACGATGTACAAAGTGCCGAAAGTAATGTTTCGAACTCTGTAAAATTATCTCAAATGACAACCCCTAAAAATTTGAAAGTATCGCAAAAAAAACGGACGCCTGGATCATCAAAATTTCATGAAAATGAAGATAGAACTCAAGAGGTTTTCGAAATGATGAAATCTATAAATGAAAGTCGCACAGAACGCAGCCAAATTGATGATTTTGACGCGTTTGGTGATGTAGTGGCACGCAAAGTACGCGGTCTTCGTACGCATTATGCACAATGCACAATTCAACATTTAATTAATAATCTTTTATACGACGGCGAGTTGGGAAAGTATGATTTTCCGCCACAAACATTCGAAGTTCCTACAAACTACAACAACTATATCGGTGGATCTGCTGCAGCTTCGACCTCTAGTATTCAGACTGTGACATCTGCGGCTAACGGAAACTACTATCACGATGAATCTTCATCTGCGTCAACAATTCCCTGCTCTAATCCTCCAAGTGTCCAAAATTTGACCGATCCAACTGTAGAAGTAGAACTATGGGGAATGGAAGAGGAAATCCATTTTAATAAATGATATAGAAACAAAAAAATATTATTCATTTTGATATGTTTTGTTTTATATTTTGAACAACATATTTTATATTTTGTAAAAGTTTCTAATTTTTATTTTCGATTTTTTGATTTAGTTTTATTTTATTTGAATATCATTATAAAAGTATCATTTTTTTTTTCAATTTTTTTTAATAAAATTCTATTCAGTTATCCACAATTTTATAGTTACTTATTTTATTTTATTTACGACAAGTAAAAAGTATACTTAAAGAAAAGTGAAATTAAAAAAGCAGGTAAGTGGATGTCGCTCTGCTGTACTTACACTGTACAGTAGATTAAAAGTGGGTCTATGTATAATTGATGGTATTACGTTTGAATTCAATGATAATATAATATCATTGTATACGAAAAATGATTCTGAGGAGTGACGGTTTGTCAGTCGGGATATTGTATAATATATTTATATTGTTATTACTTATTATTAATTGTGGTAGCCGGTAAGTTGAATTAATATTATAAAATTACAACAAAATAACTAAAATCGTCATTCTTGGAAATTTATATCTAATTTCGTCCAAAATTGAACATAAACTAATTAAAAAAAAGCAGTATTTTTATATTTTTTGAGATTTTTTGGTTATAGAATAAACTACTTACGTGAAACCTCGTTTAAAATTTTCAATTCTTAGCAATAAAAGTTGAATTTTAGATTCTGAGTGTAACGATGAATGTATTGATTTTATAATAATGTGTGTTTTTTTTTGTATTTTTTAATTTTTTTGTGTCTGTCATCACGTTTTAGAACAGTAAAAATGCTTAAATCTTTTCTGATAGGAAAGTGAATCTAGTTGGTACTTTGGTGGGTCAAAAGTAAAAATTTCCCAGTAGTTTTCAAAAGGGCAGTGAAAAACAAAAGAAAAATTAAGGAAAAACGGGAATTTTTACCCAAAATCTGTTTTCGAAGAAAATCGATTTTGGTTTTTGGTATAACTCTTAAACAAATTACCGTAGGTACATGGAATTTCGACTGAATGTTTATATTAGCATTTTCTATAAACCATAACATTTTCCAAATATTTTGACTTATTTTGAGCTCTTTGCCGAAATTTTCAGTTTCCATTTTTTTCAGTTTTTTTTTTCTATAAATATCAATAAAATTTTATTTGTTTGTTAAAAAAGCTTGAAAATTTAATATAAGTCTCCTAGTATATTGTTTCAAAGGCAGATGAAAAAAAATTAAAAATCCATATCCATTGTTTTTTTTATAAGCATTTAATGTTAAAATATTTATATTATAATATTTTTTTTTATAATTCATATTTTTACAACATTTGATATTCACTCGATTTTCTTATTTTGTTGTAATTAAAAAACGAATGACTGTGGATACTTGAAAATTTCACTGAATGTTTATATTAGTATTTTCTATACATCATACAATTTTGAAAATAATTAGACTCTTTTTAAGATAATTTTTTATTATTCTCATATTAAATATTTTTCAGTACCTACCTACTTAAATTACAACAAATACAGATATTTATTTGTAAAAAAAAAAAAACACTTATAATAGATTTATTTTAATAATTTATTTATGTATGTGCTTACCTTAATATACTCCGAAAGAGCATTGACTATTGCTTCACACACTTTCGGAACTATAAGTGATATTGCCTGAATAGATATTTTAAATTAATACATCATGCTATGGTAAGAGTATCCCGTTGCCAAGAACCTTAAAGTCAAAGCTAAACGCTCAGTCACACTAATAGCAGTTCTCCAATTAGTATTTTGTTTGTGGACTGCTGGACCGATGAGACATATTAGGTTTTCGAAATCTTCAGTTGACATTCTTAAAAAGTTTTTAATGCTAGATCGCAATTCTCCATTCAAACCAATATCATCATCTTGTAAATTCTTTAGAAGTTCATCGACACCAAACAAATTTCTTTTTTATAAAGTTGGTCTTACCCAAAAACGTCTTTTAATCTTATTATTTTTTTTTGTCTTTGTAACTGTAGGTAAATATACCCAGCACCCAACATTAGTAAATCTTCATCGTCTTCAATATCTCTTTTCAATTTCCACATTTTCATTCACAGTAAAAAAAATTAAAAAACTTATAAGTACCTACGAAGAGTTTAGACAGCTTGAACTCTGAAGACAGACTGAATGACCACGAATGAACGAAATAAAACGATGAGTTTATATTTCTGTATGGATAGTTGAAAACAAAAACAAAACACAAACAAATGTTTGAATTTTGTTCATGTTTTGTTTAATTTTTACTCAACTCAGTATGGACACATGTTTTGTTTGTGTTTTATTTTTTTCAAACTTCAAAAAGAAGGGTTTGTGTTTTGTTTTTGTTTTGTTTCTGTGTCGTCTCTGTGTGGACCCGGCATTATGTACACATATAATAAAACTAATTCATGTTGAATATAATATTAGTTTGTGTAAATAATAATACTAAATAACAATGTATGATAGTAAATTGAATCATTTATTTATAAATATTATACAAATAGCAAACATTTAGTGGGTACAAAATATAAAATTAAAAAAGCAATACTAAAGATAGTATAATATTAGACAATTTTTTAAATTATTTAAGTAATTATATGAATAATAGTAATTTCAAATGATATAATAGTTAGTTAAGTAAAACTGCACAACAACATAGTAGGTGACACGGCACGCAGCGGCAACCAGTACAAAGTACAGGTACCGCAGCGAGCGGTCTGCGCTTTTGACAACCGCCACAACGGGCTACGAACGCGACATCGCCAACTCTCTCACCACGCCACAAAGGCAAGTCGCAAGACGAGTACCTGCCGCCGGCAGCTTGCTCTCTCGTTCGCTGACCTTCGAAAAACTACCACGTAAGACTATAACATCTCCTCAAATTTTCATGTGGATACGTACTTGTGTTTTTTTTCCTGTGTCACGAATAAACGTCCCCCCGCGGACCTTATTACCACTAAAACAAGAGTGCTCAAATTATTATCAGTGTCACCCTCTTACCACAACTCTGGACAAAATTATATAAAAAAACCTAGAATAACTATTTTAGTTATTATGTTGTGGTTGTGTAATATTATTCGTGGGTACTTGAAACGACTATGATATTATTAGGGTTTGTTGTTGACGTATAACGCATTATAAGTACCTAATGGATATTGTGATATGATTAATTTGGAATTTATTATAGGTACCTATTTCAGGTAAATTTTTTTTTAATACGATAGATAATGTATATAATATGTCTTATACCTAGACTGACATACCGTCTCCGCTCAGAATCGTTATTCTTATACAATGATATTATATCATTAAATTCAAATTTAATACTATCTATTATACAGTGACCCACTTGTAACCTACTGTACAGCAGAGCACCTTTTTTGATCTGTCATCACCTTTTGGAGTGGTTAAAATGAACAAATTTATTTATTAATTATCCGTTCTGATAAAAGTGAATCTAGTTGGTACTTACTATTTTAGAGGGTCATGCGTAAAATATTCCTTATAATATAAGCCTTACAAATTGGGAAAAACAAAACAAAAATTAGAAAAAATAGAATTTTATACAAAATAGATTTTCATATTTTGTTGTACTTATTTCAAAAACGAATAACCGTAAATGGTTGAAAATGTCACCAGATATTTCTAATGGTATTTTCTATTCATGGTAAAATATTGTTGAATTATTTAAACAGACATCAATCTATTCAAAATATTGAAGCTAATTGTCAGCCTATTTTATCCAAAATTCTGGTCCAAGTTATAAAATTGGTGATAACATTTTGTCTTGATTTTCATTATATTTTTTCTCTACTTTTCGGTCTTCATAAATCTTATAAGTCCAAGTATATAATTAACTCACTGAATTTTGTATATTTCTTAACTTAGGGTACCTATAATAGCAATTTTCATTGTAAATTGTTAATGATAATGTTTTTAAAAAAACATAATAAGTCGAAATGAAAGTGTCGTCAAATTTATACGCTTCAAAATATCGTAGATAAGCGTCCCATTTATTGTCATGCGTCGAAATTACTGTACCTATCCATTTTAAGTGGCAACTTGTGTGTAATATAGACATGCGTTTAAAAATATCTCTATATTAACATATAAGAGATAGTTCTTAGAATAACTATCTAGATGGAGATAAATAAAATAAAAGTTGTATCTAGTTAAAAAATTAATTAATTCAATTTTCTAAATTTAAGTGAAAAAATGTTGAACCTATACGTTTCTAGATATTAAAATGATGGTGTGATTAATTCGACTTATAAGCTGAATAAATATTATTTATAATAAATACATTAATTAGTAATTACCATTTTTTGGTTTTTCAACTATAACTCAAAAATTAAGCTTCATTGTAAATTTTTAAAATACTGTATTGGACGTCGAAACATGAAAATTAAAAATGGTTTATTAATTACCTTCATACTTACATAGTTTCACCCAATTAATATTAATATTATCTTATTTTGTTTTTATGAAATTACAAGATAATGAATACAAATCAAGTGAACAATTTATTATAATTTATAATTAAACAAATATATAGGTTACATACAACAATTAAATAAATGTTTTAAAAACACTCTAACAAATTAATAACAATAATACAATTATTGACACAATTTCTAAATAGGATACCTTGATACCTTTTGTCTTTTCGCGTATGGCCGTGCGTATGGTTTATATGCTTGGAATTTCTCCTAATTACAACAAAAATATTATATTGTCAATATTAATTATAATTAATATACACTACAATCAGCAAGCGGTATATTTCAATATTAATAATAGAAAGTATATTATTTTATAATCAAAGTTAAATTTAAAATAATACGTAAATTTGTGTTCAAAAGGCCGGAGTGTTCATAATAATTGAAATATAACCGTGTAATGCCAATTTGTGTAGATTATATACAAAAATAGGTATGTATATTATGTTTGTACAGCTTCGGTGGTATATTATGGTTGTTTGAACTTATTTTAATACTC